ATTCAATATGCAGAAACCTCTCATTATGACATGGTCTAGCACCTTTAAGTGTATCTCATTCCACAAGTGATATTTTAGAAACCTTAAATGTTTAGCCATCTTTATTAGTGAATTCCCTTAGTAAAACCACCCACTTGCTGTCAATATGTTAACACCGCCCCTAGCAATTTTAACTAATTTGAATAACATAAACAGTATATCACTGTGTCAACTGACACACGCATTTAGGTAGACCTAATTGATATATTTTGGTAATTACCTTTTTGTTGTTCCATGCTCTCTGTTTTCGTTTTAATTTCTCTAGTTGTAGATAATTATCATTATTTCGATCTGGCACACGAATTGACCATAATTACACCGTTCATAAATCAACAGGCTGTCCACTTAAGAAATATTAAAAATTCCCGGCTGATGCATTGGATCGCTGTAATATATGTACTACTTAAACAACTACTGAACTAGTATACTTAAAACTTTCTTTTATCACATGTTTGTTCTGCACGTCTAACGTTATTATTTATATCAAATTGATCATGCCTGTAAACTGGCGTGAATTCTGTAATTATTATTTTTTCAGAATATAAAATTATTATTTGGACAATCTAGGTAATCGGTCTAGGTCGGCTTGTAGATCAAAATGGTCAGTCTCCTTTCTTACTGTTCTTCAGCTTTTGACATCATCCACAAGTAATAATTCTGGCAACCTAAGCAATCGTGGTAATTCATTAACTTAGAAAAGGAAAAATAGGATACGTAAGATCGTGCCTTGGGGTATATCGCTTTTGACCGTCTTTCATCCAGATAGAGTCCTATTTACACTCACTCTCTGTCTCTGGTTACATATGAAGTTTTCTATTCACCCTTGCTCAGAATTTGTTATTTCAAAGCTCGAGAGCTTTTGCATAAGACCTAAGTGGGAAAGCTTATCAGATGCTTTGCTAATGTCTATGAATATCAAATCGACAGGTCGATCGTTATCTAGGGCTGCTGTCTAATCCTAAGTTGGTTGGGTATGAATGCTTGTTTTGAAACCCGTATAGCTCGAGGGTTAACAACTTGTATGATTCTAGGTGATTTAGTAACTCCACCCGAATTATTTTTTCAAGGAAATTAACTACTTTAATAGATAGACTGACAGGTCGATAGTTAGACACCATCTTTATCTGACCATCTTTAAATATAAAACTGAACAAACCATCTTTTAAATCTCTAGGGAGTTGAGTGTGGGAAAAGATATATTTGAAGAGTAAGGTGAGTGCTGCATTAGGATACAAGTGATAGTATAGTTCTAAAGGTTAGCTACAATAGATAAATCGTTTTCTTAATGTAGATAGTTATATTCAGGTGCTTGCTACGATATTTTGGATGTCGAATGCTTTCTAATATGTTGAAGATGGCACAGGTATTCAGTGTTTGACAACGCTTTTACCAGTAACACCTACTAATATAACCCGTACCCACCAAGAGAAATCAAAAGACAGAATCGAGAAGATCAGAAGTTGTATTTGACGATTGCCAATATATCGGAATTGTCTGATCTAGTCTGGCTAGCGATTGCAGTAGATGTTGAGCACGGCGTTCCCACACGTGATCTGGTGCGGATGCATGACCGAGCGCCTTCAGCTAGGTGAGTCCATTAAAACATGTGGTCAGCATCCAATGTCGAAAATTTACAGAGCTATTTATTTTGGGGATTTATTTTTCGCTACAATGTTTTTTGGATGATCAAATGGTCGTTATCTACTTCTAGTCTTCTGAGTTAAGCTTACATATTTTTCAAAGTCGAAGACAAATTAGAGGACTTCTAGTCCATTTTCGGAGCTAAACTAAATTTTTTGAGTCCTAAAAACCAGTCCGGGAACTATGCCCTTATTGGCTACTGTTGAAAACACTCAAGCAATGGTCTCCGTTCAACTGAGCTAGTATTACTAGACAGCTTCCTACTACTAGTTAGCAGATGTCCTCTTCAGCAGTAAATAAAACTTATTTTTCGATACGAACAATGCTTCCCGCACAATGAGACTTAGTCAATAATCCATGCCAAACTTGAACCATGTATTTCGACAAAAGATCATAGGGAAAAATAGATGTTTCTACAAATACTAATGATAACTTCAATATGTTTTTTGGTTAGGAGAATGACTCCAAAGTAAATCCGTATTTAAAATGGAGCAGCCTCTGTCAGGTCATCTGAATTGTGAAATATCGGTGTACAAGACAAACATGAAAAAGTACATTATTGCTCTATATATTTAATCAACGTTTTGAATTACTCAATCTTACTGACACCATGGATACAGTAAATGTTTATTGATGAATGTCCTGCAAACACAAAATTTGAAAATATTTTTGATCGGATCAAAAATATTATGTAAATGATAGTGCATCAATGTACTGATTACGAGGCTAAATATATAAAACGTTTTAAAAAATGATAGTTCTGGCTACGTTTGTGAAATTCCACGATCACTGTTTCCCACGCGCTTTTTGAAAAAGCGTTTTTTTCGTTTGCTAATATTTACAAAAATTGTTGACATAAGTATGTTATGTATTTAGTGGTCCGTTAATCTGCCCCCCATTTGATCCTATCACGATATCCGGAGGCCAGAATAACCCATGTGGACCTGAAATGGTTTCATACATTGTAACGTGTACTGGTGGTCACAGTTTCCTGTGAAAACTATAGTCATCATGAAGATACAAATATCTTAGTCTTATATTCCTTTTGAGTAATCAAGGTTTCGTGAAAAGCCAGGACGAATCAAGTAGGTGTATAATAATGTTCGATACTAAGGATAGCATTATGAAATGACAAATGCCTAAGGAACTTTTAGATTATTATGAGACGACTACTGTTTTTACTAACATACATTATGAGCTAAATTCGGTCTAGGCAGAAATTTATAAGGAAATAAGGCAATGAGCTTAAGGTTTTTGTATGGGGATCTCGTTAGCTTTCTCTGAATATTTATCCAGTGCCTAGAGATATTTCAAAAAATTTGGTGGTAGCTCTGGTAACGTAAGTGACGAAAGTGAACTTCACGTTTTAGCATAATACTCAAAGTGATTAGAAAATTTTCAGTTGAGTTTTCTTAAAATTTATATCAAATTTATCAATTTCTCGCTGATTTAAAAGGTAGGGGTAAACTTTATTTTCAGTCGTGATCAAAAGTACTGATCTCGACTAAACATCTTACTCTTAATATTAAATCAAACTTCCTACATTAAATCCTGATCCACCATTTCACTCCCTGCATTTCTATGTAATGACCCATCCATCATCATCGCTTACATGACAGCCATATAGAAACAAATCTTACCTCTTCAATCTCGGTTGGGAATGAATCAGTATCGTCGACAGAGCCTACCCAAATTGCTCGTTTATCGTGCCTCGATGACTCGAGGGCCACAGTTTTAAGGGCGAAACAGTTTTTAGGATCTGTGAAGACTCACTCCTGTTGCATTCTAAATGAAAAAATAGTGATGAATTTAGTCAGAAATGTGGAATAGATAAATAACCAAATTACATGTTTCTTAGCAAAGAATTTATGCAGTTGTGATTTACCTTGAGTTCATGAATATTAGATAAGGTCAGCTACTATTACTTGTGCAAAGCATAACACGGGCTTAGTACCGTATCGCAATCCTTTTATTATTTTGCTCCCATTTAAGTATTCCCATGCATCTGCGCCTGGTTTAACAGGAAGACATACAAGCATAGTTAGTGTCTGATAAACTAAAAGTCCCGGTCGTCAAAAAGATTCTTGACATTTGTCCACAGCCAGTTGCATTTAATTAAGACACAGAACACTCATCTTCTAAGGCTGTATACTGCTGTTTTGCGGGCAACTAAAAGCTCAAACACATAGCTATCCTGCTACCGATGTTATTGCTGGGGAAATTGTTTAATGACAGTGATCATGAAATATAGTCAGTGATAGATATACAGTCTAGAAATAAATAACAAACATACTTATCGCTATTTTATAATGTATGGCAGCAACAGAATCAAAGGCAAGTTTTTCCCTATTTTTAATCAGACTGATTTGAATCAGTATACTTATTGGGAACAGGCAACTCTACTTACTAAACTGATCTGTTTCGTTACAGGCTTCACGCACTATACTTAAGTATACCATAATTCTATCAACTAAACTGAACTATACAACAACCAAGAATACTAAACTAAGCAATTGCTTATGACACTTAAGTGTCATAATTATTGTTTCATTTACGCAGACATGTTGCTCAAAGTAGTTAAATCGACATAATTTAGCCGATAAAAAGAAAACACGAAATATAGGCCAGTCGAACTTACCGAACAAAAGACAGGGGATATATATATTGCTTTCCGACTGAAGACAACAGTCAGTTGTTCATAGAAACATAGTTTACAGTACAAAAAACCTTTCTTCAGAAACATTATGCGCCGATGATCTATCTGGAAGCAATCAACTATGTGATTAAACCCACTATGACTTGGGATATCATCCCAGAATGCAATGAACGTACAGTGTAACGCAGCCAGACGTGGCGAATAAAAATTAAAACCAGAGCAAAATTAACAGCATAATCTAGTTATTTAATAAAAATTACATTATGAAATGACGAATTCTATGATTACTTGAGCGCACAGATGACTGTTATTACACTGGGCGATACATTAAGCTTACATTGTTGCGTTGCGGATAATATCACCCCTATGTAGAACGAAAACGAAATTAGTAAATAAACGTATCCCTAAGGCTAGTTAAACACCAAGTGGAACCAGCATTGCACAAGCCAGTCTATGACATATGATTAATTAATCTACGTTAGCTATTTTTATTTCCAACACTGTTCAATTTACTGTATAACGATAAAGTATCTATTTCAGCTTTATGGATGATTTCGCTGTTACTTGATGACGATTTTTTGGCCTACGAGCGCATTGATCTCACATAAATTAAGTTTTGCGGAATTCCTTGAGTTTCTGTTATAATGCACTATTTTTTCAAAGTAGTCGAACCACAAGGTTGTTCGGTACAGCAATTGTTTCTTTACTCAGGGAAGTACAGCAGGGCACGGACTGGCAGGTAAGCCATGGGTTTTCGCGCGCACGTTGCATATTGTCGTGGATTTTTTATGTCGTTATTTATCAGCTATTAACAGGCTTTTTTCCATATTGGCAGATGTGTTTTGTTCTAAATGCTTTTTCGTTTGCTCTGTGGTGTTTTTGAAACGCTTGTCGTTTACATATGCCAAGAATGTTATTAATGCGGAAAGTATTGTCCTAAAGTTATTTGCATTTTTCAGACTTTTGCTGTGTCCTAGGACGCGAAGGTAACACTTGAACTGAAAGATCTATTCTGTGCATAAAGTCAGGTAGATAACTTTTCTTTTTGAGTTTTATTCGAATTAGTAATTAACCGTGGTTTCGCCTCAGCTTACCATCCGGTTTTTAAAGTTTTTCACGTTTAAAGGCCAGTTTTAGTATTTTTAAGTATCCGTAATGTCCGCTTTAAATATATTACTCTTTTAACCTGTAAAATATTTCAATTTTGTTAACAGCTCATATTTCAGCGTCGTCACTAAAACCATATGTGTAAGCAACCTGATGTCCTTTTGGCGTCAACTGTGTTATGCACTGTGACGGATCAGTTAGTAACAATGTAGAACTTCGAACGTACGTACATCAGTTCGAGTTGCCATACCACATTAGTACACAGATACAATTATCGATTCAAGTCCCGTAGTGGTAGATGTAGTAAGAATAAAAGTAGTAATCAGAAACATTAGTGCTTGAAGATGTTATTCAAGGAGTATAATCCAGTGAAATAAATTTGGAAAGAGAAAAATAAAGGTATATGAGGAATTCAGGAGATTAGAATTTGGGAGAATACAAAGATTGGATGCGCTATTGCAAACGACTTTAAGCCATGTCATTCAAGGTCTCTAACCATCGGTTGCTATCGTCTCGCGGATCCCAACAAGGTAGTCTACACCTACCAACATGGCTTAGTCTACATGTCAGTGACTTCATGGATTTGTGCCATGTTTTGGTCTCTCCACTCCTAGCTTTCTTACAACCTACTCCTACACCACTGAACATCGCACGTCGAGGCAGTCGGTGGTTGGGCATATGTAACACATGTCCCAGCCATCTCAACTGATGAAGTCTCACTACTTCATCAATTGATTTGATATCCTTACCCAGTACCCGTTTACTGACAACTACATTACTTACTCGATGGTCCCAGGATATACGGGCAATGTTTCGAGGACATCTATGATCGAATACTAGTAACCTACGAATATCCTCTACTCTTACCGGCCATGTTTCACAGCCATCAAGTAGGAAGGAACGAACTGCTGTGCAGTAAACACGTCCTTTGGTTGGTAGACGGATATCTCGCCTACGCCATAAATGACGCAAGTTGGCAAAAGTAGTCGATCCTTCTGTATCCGTGCTGAGATTTCCTCACACACCAGACCACAAGGGCTGAGGAGACTTCCCAGATAAGTCAGGCGGTCGAAACGTTCAACTACTTCACTCCCTATCATTAGTTCGGGTGTCAATGCAACCCAATTCTGAAGCAACATTTTGCATTTCGAGGGGGGAATCGCATTCTGAACATACTTGTATTGTTGCTTACATTGGTCAGAAAACTCTGCATTTTGTCAGCGTCTTCACCAAATAGAACTATATCATCGGCATATTCTAGGTCAAAAAGTGAATCTCCCGGTAGAAGTTCAACCTCTGGAAATTTAGATGAGGAAAGTGTTATCACTAAAAGTATGTCTACGATAAAGTTGAACAAGAATGGAGAGAGTGGACAGTCCTGACGAACACCACTTGAGGTGGTCAATTTTGATGACAGTTCGCCATTAGCTCTCACTCTACCAGTTGTGTTCGAGTAGAGAGCCTTTACAAGGTTAATGTACTTCTTTGGTGCTCCTTTCAGTAACAAACACTGCCATAGACCCTCACGATCAACAGAGTCAGATGCCGCCTCGAGGTCGAGAAATACTACGATTGTGGGGCGTCTGAATGTGTGTCTATGTTCCAGGACCTGCCGTAGTGTGAATATCTGATCTCTGCAACCACGTCCAGGTCGAAAACCAGCCTGATTTTTTCTAGTCTGTTCTTCACGAGCTTTGACTAGAAGCCGAAGTATTATTGAAGCTAATATTTTAGACACTATATTTGTCAAACTGATTCCTCTGTGATTGTCACAAGAGGACTTTTGCCCTTTCTTATAGACTGGCACAATCAGTGATTGAAACCAGTCAGATGGGATTACGTCCAATTCTCAAATTCTACCTAAGACCTCAGTCAATCTCACTGTTAATACTGGACAACCATCCCTAAAAATCTCAGGGGTAAACCTGTCAGGGCCCGCTGCTCTCCCTTGCTTCACATTTCCTATAGCTTTTTTCAACTTTGCAAAGAGTAGGAGGACCTACATTAACTTGCCATTCAGGTTGACTGGAGGTTGTGGGAAACCAAAGTGTGACTGAAGGCCAGTTGAACTGATCCGTAAAGTGTTCTGCCCATCGATCTGATCTCCTGGATTGAGAATGAATAATACGTCCATCTTTTTCTGAGAGAGTTGACGGATACAAAGGTTGGTTTCACGAAATGTCCACAAACCTAACTGCAATCTCAGTAAACCAGATCTGAAGTGGGCATGTGGCACTTGAGACATGAATACCGATGATTTGCTGAGCAATGTCAGGATTTCCTCGACACGTTTGCCGAAAGAATGCCAGGGACTCTGGAAGAGGCAGTTCTGAAGCTGAAAAACAAACAAAGGTGCTCAGAGAGGTAAATAAGCAGGACTTCGACAACATCAGTATTTATGGAACAAGCACCAGAACTAGTAAGGACATTCTGAAACGTAGTAGACTCTCATTAAGTTTCCATCCCTTAGGATAGCTTCTTTAAATCCAACTGTGGTTCCAAAAAGTTCTACTGCAGGCGATTGGACTTTCATCAAGAGGGTTTACCGACTACCGTCGGAAGTTTTCAACAGCACAGTTCCTGTAAAAACACTAGTTAATGAACCAGGTGTTCAATTATTCCTAGGATTATCCGACTACTTAACAAAAATCACGAAAATCCGGAACGTAATTCAACTCTCAAACAATATTAACTCCAGCCTCATCGTACCTGAAGACTTGTAAAATCTACCAATGCTTGTTCCTTAATAATTATGAACCCTTAAGACCGCTCTGACCTTCCTTTCATTCTCTTGGTTGAAAATGGCAGGATGTTTTGGGAAAAGTTAAACAGGAAGCACAGGTTTCCCAAAATTGAACCACTGGTGATTGTCAGGCTTACCCAGGGGAAAGACACAGGACACCCAATTCATCCAAGACTCTATATGACATTCAGTTACACTGCTGACTTGGAGGATGTTCTACTGGCCAGTCACTTGCTGTAACCAAAAGATGTCAGGATACTGTCAGATATACCATATTTTGAACACTATCTCATTAAGAACATCCAAAGGAATCTCATGAGGCGTTCTTAGGCGGGAGAAACATCATTGCGCAAGGTGTCCCAGAAAATATGGGCCCTGATAATGCTGTTAACGATATTCAAGATTGGATGTTCATAAAGCTTAAGGACATATTGACTTGAAAAGTAGTACGATTAGCCAAGAAAGACGAGTATCCTAGACCACGGCCAATGGTGATAACTTCCCTATCTCCCTAAATGCTCTGGCGATAGTCTCACCTGCAATTCAACAGGAGTTTCGAAAGTGTCTCTTATGGATTGGTGTATCAGCTGCAGCATCTAAGCAAGAACACTGCCTGGCTCGGGTGTATTTCACTCTACTATGCTGACAGAAGCGGCTTCAACCTCAGCAAGACCGCTTAGCGTGATGCTCTCACATTCGCTAAGCCGAGGCAGGGTCTCAAAAAACTGAAAGTTGGCACACATCGCACCAATTTTCAAAGTTGGCTGATGCTATGAACCTTCAAGCTACCGACCGGTAGTACTTCTCTCTGTACCCTGAGAAGTTATGGAGTCCTTAATAGACGACGGTTCACGTGACTAATTCTTATCCGCGAACTCCTTTTCACTCTAACGAAACTTTTAGAGAGGGTCACTCCTGCATAACTAACATGCTGACTGCGGTGGACGGATCGAAAACCATCTTTGCTTGCAAGAGAAAGACTGGTGTCATATACCTTGATCCCTTAAAGGCATTTGATAGGGCCAATCATATGTCTCATCAATAAGCTCAAAGTGTTACATATCAAGTTGTCGTCAATTAATTGGTTCACACATAATATCTAAGTAATCAGGTTTCTAAGATTAGAGTCAACTTCACTTTTTCTCAAACTACAGAATGTCCTAGTGGTATCCCCAGGGCTTAGTACTAGAACTTCTCTCTTTATATACATGACTTCCTCTGTATCGTCTGAGTTACTGCTTCAAACAGATGATGTTAAACTGTGGAGAAAAGTTTGAAACCAAGATGATAAGCTGGCACATCTGGAGGATCTAACTTAGCTTTAAAGTTTGGCGGATAACAGCGGATTTATTTTCAACACTTCAAAGTATGAAGTGGTTCTCTTGAGACTTGTTGCAGACTTCGCATACAGCTTAGGTAATTCCCCTGTAGAGGTGTCCAAAGTTGGGAAATATCTAATAGTCTTGCTATCTTATTTTCTTAAGTCTTACTCTAATTGCGACAAAAATGCCTTTCGAGCAAAGCTTGCACTGGTTACGTTCAAGTCCTTTTTTGGCCAGTCTGACAATAGAATGTCCCACCTAATCTTCAAGTTTTATTCGGCTTCATTTAGAGTATGGAAAGCAGTTTCCCCTCGCTCCAAAGGGGTAAAAATATACAAAAATGCACCCAGAAATCAGTTCAGTAACTCAACTTCTAGCCTTACAAAGAGCGCTTCAATTCACTAAATGTCTACCCATTAGAGTATATGCGTCTCTGATGTAACCTACTGATTTATATCTGTCTGACATATATATATATATATATATATATATATATATATATATAAATATATATATATATATATATATATATATATATATTCCAATTACTCCTGGGAACCATCAAATACTTGTTTAAGCTCAGCCCCAACACAAACACTAAAATTACAGACACAGCATAGCAGAATGGACTGCAGGGACACCTACTCTAGGAGTAATGAAATTTTGGGATTCGCTGCTAGTTGAGGTAGTTCAAGCCACATCCCGGGAGTCCTCCAAGAGGAAACTTGACATATTTTTAAGGACAGATGATAGTATTTCACTATAATTTACAGACATTTCCCTTTTGTTTGTTACATATATCTAGGTTCCCAACTGGAGGCATCGGGGACCCACTGCTACTAAATACAGAAACTCGTTAAGTGGAAGCTTTTATCCCGTCCACAACCATTCGAGTGGGACTTCATAAATGTCAACAAAAGTTTTTCTAAGTTCAGTGTTTTCCACATTTTATTTTGTCTCTCGTACCAAGATTTGACTCAGTGTTTTGTTATGACGTTTGTTGTCATAATATGCCCATCTTTTTTATTAAAAGTTATTACTTCTCGATATATCAAACTGAATATAACCAATGCAGTCAAATGACTAAACGACGACCAAACAGCTGTTACCAAAGAGAAATCAATCTATTTATATAAGATTGTCACAAAAATATTAGCATAAATATGAGTCGTTTATTTCTAACTTAAATTACTGGCGTTTCCAGTTAAGGTTCGTTAGTTGTCCACATACTCGCCTCCGAGTATCCTTTTCAACTGTGTTACTTGTGAAGTCCTAGAAAAACATGAAGATTTGTCTTTTGTTGTTCTCTATAGTCTCATGGTTGATCCATTACCGTCTACAAGTCAAACACAGCCCAGTAAATTTTTTTCAGTGGATATTAGAGATTTTTTTGAAAGGATAATGAGACCCCGGCATCTAACATCCTGGAATCAAGTTGAAGAGGCCATAGATCTTTTGCAGAAAGTTTGTTCCATAAATATTGGCTAACATACATAGATGACCTATACACACTATGTAGTTAGAGAAAGCAAATTAAATAAAGAAGAGCCTGGACTCCATTACCACTATGTTGTGTATGTGTGCACTTTTGGCCACAAAAGAAAGCCTGAAGGTACTGGGCAAAGAGTTAAAGGGTAACTGGCTGTTATTTTACTAATAGCTTTTTAGATCAAAATTCACTGGCTGTAAATCCATGTTTAGAATCAGATATGAGCATAACAGATATATAATACCGGCTTCTAAAACAGTGCACAACCATCCGTGCGACAGGGAATATTTAACAAACGACCCTTGGTCCAGAAAGCTCAGCCAAGACCAGTTGCAAGTTTTAACCCCGATGATCACAGTTGGTTCAGAACCAAATGAAATGATTAAATATGTTGATGAAACCTTCAACAAAACCATCACGTTCAACGATTATAAAAATCTCCGACACAAAGTTGCTAAAAGTAAGTTTCCTTATAGTTAAAGATTGTCAGGTTGTAGAATTCAAAAAGATGGTCTTACAAAGGTAGATTGTTTGACAGCCCTATGAATGTCACGATAATGTCAGTCAAATTTCCAGATTATGCTTTATTAAATCATATGTGTAAATTGTAAATGTATAAGCGGTTTCTTGAGATAATTGTTATCGATTCCACATATACAAACAAAAAAGTAAAAAGATCCCACTTGATAACAACTATTTGTTCCAATTAGTTATTACATATAACAATGGTCACGTATACTATATCCTTATATGCAATCTTTCTTTTATATATTACCACCTCTGAATTAACTACTTTTATGAATCCGGTATCCATCTTGTGTTAACGAGGTATGGCAACTTGGACCAATGCATATATGTGCCTGGTCTTACGTTGTAGCTGACTAACTGACTGATGGTCACGTATATTCAGTTACTGTTGCTCAATCTAAACTTGATAAAAACCTACGAATAAATCTAGACTCATCATGACAGAAGCAATAACAATTAAAGCATTTCCAATATACTTTGTTGGATGTCTAAACTAAGGAGTATTAATAACACATCGTAGACTAAACGTTTCTGTAGAAAAGTTGTTTTCTGCGGAATAGGGTTTCTTATACCATACCCAACCCTCCTTCATCGAGGCTACAGGCGAAGGTACAAGTCTTCTCTAAGATACCTTGTTTGAAATCTCACAACCATTAAACAATATTGCGTTGGGATTTTTGCAGTCATTAACCATAATTTTCCTGTTGATAATTTCGGCAGCATATTCAACATTTCCATTAGGAACGAGTTCCTATTTATGTTGTCTTCGATGCAGAATCTTTTCAATCACCTCGACTGCTCCGGGATTTGGCAACTTCAGTCAATATACATACGTACCAGGTTTTACATTATAAACTAAGTGACTGGATTAACACTCGTGACCAGGGGTCGTTTACCACTGTCGTATAGGTAGTCTTCCTGTGTGTAGTAAGCTCAAATGAGTTATTCTCTTAGCTGATTCCAAACGTAAGTATATAAATAGTGTCGTTCGTCCTAACTTCCGGTAGTATAAACACCAGCTTATCGCACACAAATACAGCATAATAATACCGAGATTTATGTTTTGTTTCATTCACTTTGCTTTCTTTACTACAAAAAATATGGAATTCATCTGTTAACAAGTATATTTGGTATAAGTTAAATTCTTTTCTCAAGCTAATACTTGGTTCACTAGTATTTTCCTTCCCATTTCAGATAATCAAAAAAAAGAAACTAGATAATCTATTGCTGATGTACATACTCTGTAAATTTAATAATTAAATTATAAATTTTAATTTCAAATCGATGTATCCTGTGCGTTTACATCATAATCCGTTCTCTTATATATAAATACTGACGGGTTTGTAACATGTATACACCTAATCAATCAGGTATTTGTAAAGGAAACTAAACAGATATATACATCCAAACATAATCTAAGTACCAAGATTTTGTTTATGCCTGTGTCGGTACGCAGTTAACTGCTGCATGATTCACCTGTCCCTTAATAATGATGAGTTCTCGAGTCGCTAGCTGAAACCTCTGTTTATACAAAACAAGGCTGCCCAACCGTAGCAACTACCTTGCCATAGTGGTTGAGATTTTCCATCGTGATGACTCAACCCAGCTATATTGACTGAAACGTTTCTTCAGGTCTTACTATACCAAGTCGGCTTAGGAACGGTAAGGTTCTGTTCGACTAAACGGGGCTAATAACTTGAAAAGATAGTAACACACTCGGTTGCCTTTTTTGCCGGTGCGGCTCAGGCGAAATAAACGACAAATTTTGTGGGAAGCTATTTAACCTCACTCGAAAGGTTAAACGCCCTGATGTAATAATGGTGGGTGATTTTAATGCTCCGGTTGGCAGACTAAACCAAACAGAAAGACACTTAAGCGGGTCATACGCTGTTGTGGCTCAGCGAACAGATAACGGCGACCGTTTGTTGCAACTATGCTCAGATAACCATGTGTTTCTAGAAAACGCCAACTTTAAACATACGGATAGACATCGTCTGATGTGGCGACCTCCACAATCGACTCATTGACGAACTCAAATAAATCATACTGACACTAATCATCGTTGGAGAGGCTTATAGAAGACTGTCGTTCACTCTGAAAAACAAGTTTGGACTCGGATCATGCTCTAGTCCGGACACATATTTGTCTGCATCTTACTGGACGTAGAAGAGCTACAGTAAGAAAAACCCTTGAAGTTCGACTTAGTAATAAACAAGTTAGGAATATGTTTCAGAAACAACTGGAGGAATTCGTCAACCGTGGGAGTAATATCCATAACACTGGCATCTACCAGTAACTTATATCAACAGATTGGGAGAAATCAGATTTCTACGGCGTCTACGAAATTGATGGATGCTCGTAAACCCACCTCGTCTGTTTCCGAACACTATGAGGACTGGAGGCAGCCTTTACATACGCTCGTAGAAAGCATACGTAACAATCGTTGGTGGCGAAAAGCAGAAGAGATGGAAAAGACGGGAGCGTTAGGTAATAGTAGGCAATTGTTATTGAGGTTGAGAGAAATATAAGTAATCTGACGCAAGCGGGAGCATTAGAGTCTGACGGAATAAAGTCTGAGATTCTTAAGGGTGATGGCTCTTTTCTCTGCAGCCAACTGCAATTTTAGCTAAAATCTGGGGACTGGACGTCATGTCATATGACTGGTCTTCTCAGTCATTAAGAAAGGACAGAAGTTCCCTTTTGATAATCACAGAGGAATCAGTTTAACTAATGTAGTGACTAAAATATTAGCCTCAATAATACTTCAACATCATGAGCTCGTGAAAAAAAACGAGGAAATTAGTCTGGTTCCAGACTTAAACGTGGATGCATAGACCAATATTCACCCTTCGACAGGTTCCAGAACATAGACATGCTTCTCGACGTCCGACTATAGTTGTAGCAGCATACAACTTTGTTGATTGTAAGGTTCTTTGGCAGTCTCATTGAAAGGCATCACAAAGAAGTACAATGACTCTGTACAGGCCCTCTACACGACGCGCGATGCTGGCTGGTGTTGGAGATGGTTGGAAGAAAGTTAGGGGTGGTCAAACCAAAACGTGGCATCAGTGCTTGGAGTCATTAACTTCTGGTCTGAGCCATGTTGGTAGATGCAGGCTACTTGGTTGGGGTCCGCATGACTATCGTAACCAATGGTTGGAGACTCTTGGTGACATGGCTCAGAATCGATCACAATGGCGTCGGTACATGCACTCTTTGGCTTCCCTTAAACTATTTTGCTTTATGTACTATATCCTTATATGCAACCTTTCTTTTATATATTACCATCATTGAATTAACTACTTCTATGAATCCGGTGTTCATCTTGCTGTGCTAATGCGGTATGGTAAATTGAACCGATACATATATGTGCGTGGTCCTACGTTATAGCTGAATGACTGACTACTCAAACGGTCAGGTTATAGTCATCGTCGGGCCAGTCCACTTCGTTATAGATACCCTTCTAAAGACATCGCTCATGGTCTGAATCTTCAGGAGTTGGTCTTTTTCTAGGAAATTCACTTGCTGACTCAGAATACGCAGATGATAGAATTCCGTTTCGTCAAAACAATGCAAACGTGTTTAGGCTGCGATTCTCTTTCTAATTTGTAAAATGTTACTTCAGGATTGGTGTCAGCGCCTGAATTAGTGGTAAAAAGTGGAGTATCGACCGCTTTATTTATATTTGCTAGTCTCGTCAGTCCTGATGTCTAACGAAATCTCAGCACGGATTCAGAGGGGTCGACTGACTTTTGCCGACCTGCGTTTTAGGCGAGATATCCGTCTTTTAACCAAAGGATGAGCTTAATGCTCATCAGTTCGCTCCGTTCTAACTTATTGATATGAAACGTGGCCATTAAAAACAGAAGATATCCACAGGTCACTAGTATCCGGTCAAGGATGTCTCCTAGGTTTCGCTCGTATATTTTGAGACTACCGAGTAAGAAATGCTTGGGTTAGGAATAGGGTACTAGGTGAGTATGGCAAATTGGCTGATGAGGTAATAAAACTTCATCAACGAAAGTGGTTGGGACATGTGAGTCTAACCACTGCCTACCTTGACGGGAGATGTTGTGTGGTGTAGTGTGTTGAAGGAAAGGTACGGGCAGCCAAACCAAAAGATGGCATCAATCCACGAAGTCATTTAAAACTGGATTGAGCCATGTTAATAGGTGTAGACTACTTGAATGGGTCCATGTGATTATTGTAACCAATTGTTAGAGACTTTGAATGGTATGGCTTAAAATCGTTTGCAATGGCGCAGGTGAATCGATTATTTGTCTTCCCCCGAATTTTCAATTCCTCGGAACGCTTTGTTATTTCACTAACACTACAGTTCCGGGATTTGGTCTGGCAATTTCATCACTTAGTGTTAATGGAGTGTTGCAAGTTGAACCGATGTACATACGTAACAGATTCTGCGTTATGACCAACTGACTGACGCTGATGTACCTAAATCTCAGTATTAATGTTCGAAATGAGGCCGAAACTCAATACCTAATGCCTTGAGCATCCAATCATTATCCAGTAAGCTCGCAACCAAAGAATGTTTGGATAATCACCTTTGAATGAACTTATGCTAATAGATGCCAATTGATTGCAGTCAAACTATGACGTAGATATCTATCACGTTCAAAAGTACAATTCTTTTTTTAAATATTAGGTATATTTATATTGATGATGAAGTGAAAGTACTAATGTTAGTACAGTGGAAGTATTTAACCACATATGGGATTAAAATAGAACTAATACTATCAAAAAGCCAGTGGATAGTGATTTATTGCATTGTAAATCGTAAAAACCAACTTTGATGCAATTATTTACTATTATTTTTATACAGGCAGTTTATACACTCATAATGGCTGTTTTATGTAAATTAGCTTTTATTCAGGGTTATAAGAATAATGGAAAAATGAAGCTAATATTTTTGCTGAATAGTTATACTCAATTGGTAGATAGTGCAAATGACACGGTTTAACGTTATTGTTCGTATTGAAATGTAATTTATACATACAGTCAGGAAATGTTTTGAACATATGAACATACAATACTGCTTGGTACCTTCAAGATGTCATTCATTTTGATTGTCCGGCCACCTTATTGCTATACGTAGTCAGTATATACATAACATACAAAAGCATCCATGGCCTGAGTCATTCAACTGGAAGTCACTCCGAAATCGGATTAGGGGTCTCTATTATTATGCGCTGGATAATTTACTAAGAAACAACTTGCTCAGAACCAAAGCAAATATTGCAGTTGGTCCGATATATGATCAACGTTCTTCCGAATTCTGTTGAATTTACTTACAAATTAGGAAAGTACCATATAGCCAGTTAATTAATTAAGCTTAACTCCAGACGTAACAACCAGTTGCTTAAATATTAGACCTATAATTAATTATATTGAGTAACCAATTTAAAACATGTTGGAAATAAGTAACTTGTTGGGATCAGATCATTAACTTGGTCTGAATTCGATAGCCGTAATCACCATATGGCAGTCTTTTTGGTAGCATGTAGCCTGTTGAAGTATAAACAAGTTTAATCCAGACCTTACAATTAAAAAACCAGCGAGCGTTCTCAGAAGTAATATTGTTTGCTGCAATAGGGCACTAGTTTACACAAGTAACTAGTAGTCGAAGTAAGCAGATAGAATCCCAATATTTCTATAGCGTATATTAAATACATCTGTCACATGCAATAAGTTGCAAACATTATTGCGCAAAAAGAATGAATACATAGAAATAGAGGTATAAACACCAAGTGTTTATGGTATTCAGATTGCATGACGTGGAAAGATGAAAAACGGAGTCAATCCCAAAGTAAACATTGACAAAAAAGACGGAAAATAAGATTAAAGATCAAAGTGAATTATTTACATATGAGTTTTGAAAGAAATGTTTCAAAAAGTATTGCAGACAAGCACACCAGACTAAAAAACACGCTCATAATACGAATTGTCATCTGGTATAGGTGGACGACGATTAGGATGCATGATGCCAGGCCCATTAAGATAATTCATTTGCTGCCCAGGCCCGACAACTGGACCACGTACAATTCCTGGACGATTTGCTCCTTGTAACATACGACCACGAGCGTTATTTGACGACAAGAATTCCAGATAAGATGTCCCGGATTTGGAAAAAGATCGCAAGTCACCTACTGGAGGATCTTCATAAAAGTAGTCATGTGAAAGCGCCTGCTCAGCATCAAGACGTTTGCTGGGATCTAAGACAAGTAATTGGTCAATGAGATCTACAGCAGCAAGCGAAGAAATTTTGGGGGTCAATTTCTCTCGAACATGTCGTTTAATGTCCTGAGGTAGACGAGCTTCTCTAAATGTTTCCAAACGTTCTACACCTGGCCATATTTCAGGTGTTATAGATCCGCAGAGATTAATGATAAGGTTCAACTGACTAATTTCGTTGTCCCCCTAGAAAAATGCAATATCAACAAATTTGATTGAGAAGAAATCCAGAGACCTTTTGCCAATACGATTCTTTATATTAACTGGACCAAAAGAATTACCAGTCATACAGTAGAAATAATCATTTATTTATTTTAACACATAGATATTGGTACAAAGAGGCACCAAATACATATGCACCACACAAATCTCATTCGATATGTGTAAGTGCTGTGATACTGCCCGCGTGCCCGAACCGAAGCAGGTGGTTTTCTTAGGGGGCCATACCCCGAGCCTTCGACCTGAAGGTCTGATCCACAAGGTATTGGAGCATTGTAAGGAGATCCCTTCCCATGGAAGCCGGTGACCAACAAGTGGTTTATACGCCATTTGTTCCCGCAGGATACTGGAGCCCATGTGCACCACTGGTTTGGAATCCGGTTAAAGCGCCGGACATTCGCTTTTCGTCCTCTCATTTTCGCAAAAACTTCCGCTACGAGAAGGCAGTGTGTAGGACTTCCCCGGCAGAGGATATATACGCGTGGCCATGTGAGAGCATTTCGAGAGGGAGAGCGGACTCTCCCCACTCTCGGCCGTACCTTTATTTAGAAGAAATGAAGGTAGGAAGGGAAACTAACAGTTTATCTAAAACTGCACTAGATGGTTGATGACTAATTTCGATGTATGTATCACTTAAGTAACTGTGATCTAAGTACATTAGTTCATCTATCATTGAAATGAGTCAGTCTACCAAAGTATAGATTTACACGATTGATTCGTTTATTTTAAATTACACACGGATTTCTATTATTGTTTGTTAGCGGGACATAGACCGGATTAAAGCATGCTCAATGCATGATTGCTTTGGTGCACGCTGATTGGCTAATTCTTAACCAATCAGCACTAGTCGATAGTTGGAGAACACTCTAGAATCTTCTCATGTAGGATACTATAAATATACTGACGTTTTTCTCTATTGTGCTTCTGACTTCCATCTAACCTTGTTATTTGGAATATAATCTCTTCCTGTTCAACCGTGTTTGATTTGGGGACTTGTCGAGTGAATCGGTGTCCGAGAATACTAAGCAATAGGAATAGCCGGGTCATAACCGTAAGAAAAGCGATATATAACAGTGGCGACGGGGATGGGATTCGAACCCACGCGGGGAAACCCCAATGGATTAGCAGAAGGGACCACTGAAGATATCTTAGAGAGGTTCCTGTTTATTTATCGCTCTACACCGAACCCTCAGACAATTAACGGGGTCTCTCCAGCAGAAGCTCTACTTGGCAGAAAGATACGAACACATTTCGATGCCATCCGTCCTACGCCAGCTATTGAACCCCAACGAAACCTATCGATGGAGAATCAGTTTAACCGACATCATGGGGCACAAAGACGATTGTTCACGGTGGGACAAAAAGTGCTTGCTATGGACTATCGTGGGAAACACCCTACATGGACAGCTGGTCGGATCGTGAAAAAGAAGGGGAGTGTGGTTTACGAGGTGTCAGTTGGCTCGGAAGTTTGGGTACGTCATGCTAACCAATTGAAAGCAACTTCGATAGCCAGCAACAAGATTCAATATCGATTACCTCTTGATGTTCTGCTAGACACCTTTGAAATCAAAACGCCGGGAATAGACACGTCAGTTTCTGTGCAAGAAAAGAGTGATACTTCACTATGCCTAGACGATGGACTAATCGAAAGCACAGGCCAGTCACTCGGTTGCAGTTGGACCCTAGCACCAGATCCTACGAATCTGCTCAAAGGGGAGGTGTTAGCGGGACATAGACCGGATTAAAGCATGCTCAATGCATGATTGCTTTGGTGCACGCTGATTGGCTAATTCTTAACCAATCAGCACTAGTCGATAGTTGGAGAACACTCTAGAATCTTCTCATGTAGGATACTATAAATATACTGACGTTTTTCTCTATTGTGCTTCTGACTTCCATCTAACCTTGTTATTTGGAATATAATCTCTTCCTGTTCAACCGTGTTTTGATTTGGGGACTTGTCGAGTGAATCGGTGTCCGAGAATACTAAGCAATAGGAATAGCCGGGTCATAACCGTAAGAAAAGCGATATATAAATTGTTCTTTTACACAGTCGTTTTACTATACTTTAAGTTCCAACCAAACACATCAAAAATACTTGTTATTAAAACCTTGTCGACTTAATACTTGTTGCACGGATCTAAAGTATCCAGATAGACTTCAAAGACTGAAGAAAAATCTGGAGGCGATTTTAATAAATGCTCACAATACAACCTATCGACTCCGAAAAAATTCCTAAATCTTCACTAGAATTATAAATGTTGCATTCATTACCTCCGTCTTTCCAAGAGTCGCGTTACTGATGGTTTTTCAAATAAAACTAATAAGATTCATTTAATCGTTAAACTATTCCATTACATACTTTATGTTCACCCTTGAGTCATATAAGATTACTTCCAAGTTTGTATTGTTAACTTCATCCAAACCTTCCCAATATCCAATCTTAACGCGATGTTATCCGTGAAATCAGAAAATTTCCAGTGGGACCTTTTCGTAGGACGGTCAACACAAAATAAAACCTAAGCCGATAATTATTGTATTAACAATGAAGTGAAGTAAGAAAAAATGTAAACTGCTGGTGTCCACTATTATTATCACCTTCACCTCGATTAGTTTGTACAAAATGAAGTTCTCGATTTTGTTACTTCTCCTGTTTGACGAACTTTATTGATGAAGTGTCATTTTTAGCGCGACTTAGGAAACAGACAAAAAATCCATCTTTAAGGAGAACTTTAGAAATCATAACTTACTTATCAAGCACAAATTTGTGCGTTCGAACTTGAGTCATGCGTTTTGTGTGAGGGCCAGTGATACTAACCCAATGCTCAAACTGAAGTAGTTTTGAGAGTTGGTTTTGAACCCGTAACTTACTGAACAACCGTTGAATCTCTCAACCAAATCGTAGATCTGCGAAATCTTAATACAATTTAAGTATTAATCCAACTCCTAATCACTTGAATTTAATTATTTTCTGATTACCTAATAAATTACATTGATTTTTGTTAAACCGATCTACAGTATTATGACTGACAATCACTTCTCGAAGCTTATTATCGTGAAGATACGACCAAGCTGTATAGGGACGTCACCTTCACAAGCTGAAGTGAGCGACACATAATTAAATTTGAACATCTATGTGAAAGATAATTCGCTTACACTAGAAACATTTATGACTCAGATAATAGATAAGTTGGTTTTCCTAAAGTAAAATAATTAAGTGATAGATTGTTAGTGTCGTTTCGTACGAAATGGAAGCCATAGTACATTATGTTACTTGCAATGACTATCAATTACGACATATTTTACGAATACGAAAACTGGGGTTTTATTTACTAAAATAGTTCGAGTATTATTTGTATTGTATGGAATCAAACGAGAAAACTGCATTATTCATTTGACATAATTCAAGTTACCTGCATAATAGGATACTTTGTCCATAATTCAGCCATAATACAACCAGCACCCCACATATCTACAGGCTTTCCATAATGGCGGTCATTTAGGAGAATTTCAGGAGGTCGATACCACAAAGTAACAACTCGTCCAGTATAACGTGTTGGGCGATCAGGACGAAGAGAGGCAACAGTTGTTCGAGCCAGACCAAAATCTGCTATTTTAAGAATGCCGTTTTTATCAATCAAAATGTTCGCAGCTTTTAAATCCCGATGGAGCACATTGTTTCTGGAACGAAAGAAATTCTATGTGTTCATGAAGACCACATTAATACAAATTATGTAAACAGGCGTATACGGAAATGTTTGACCAGAGAGGATACAAACGAAACCACAACGTTGTGCAGTATATGATTGGAGATCGGACAATTGCCAACAACTAAACATACATAATTAAATAGTTCAACAATTATCAAGTGCTGATCAAACCCAAAAACGTTTCTACCTACTAATACACTTGAATATTATCTTATAAACAATATATCGCCTTTAGGTAGAAAATACACATACAGAAACCAAGACGAAAGAATCTTGAGGGAAACTTACTTATAACTTAGCATAAAAACAAAGTAAATAGATGGACACAAACTACCAACAAACACCTGGTATTGACACAAATATACCGTCCTAATACAAAAAAATTACTGATTATAAAGGTTAAGATAGACTTACTTCGCTACCTGGTACGTACTTACTTACTTACTCCTGTTACTCCTAATGGAGCAAAGTCCGCCGACCAGCAATCTCCAACCCACTCTGTCCTGGGCCTTCTTTTCTAGTTCCATCCAATTCTTGTTCATTTTTCTCATGTCTATCTCCGTTACCCGGCGTAATGTGTTCTTTGGTCTTCCTCTCTTCCTTTGGCCTTGAGGATTCCATGTTAGGGCATGTCTTGTGACGCAATTGGGTGCTTTCCTCAATGTGTATCTTATCCACTTCCAGCGCTTCTTCCTAATTTCTTCCTCCGCTGGGATCTGGTTTGTTCTTTCCCACAGTTGGTTGTTGCTAATAGTGTCCGGCCAACATATCCGAAGTATTTTGCGTAGACAACGGTTAATGAACACCTGTATCTTCTGGATAATGGCTTTCGTAGTTCTCCAGGTTTCCGCCCTATACAGTAGAACTGTATTGACATTTGTATTGAAAATCCAGATCTTGGTGTTAGTTGACAGTTGCTTTGAGCTCCAGATGTTCTTCAATTGTAAATATGCTGCTCTTACTTTACCGATCCGCGCTTTCACATCTGCATCAGACCCGCCGTGTTCATCAATGATGCTGCCCAAATATATAAAGGTTTCTACATCTTCCAAATCTTCTCAGTCAATTGTGACTGGATTGGGGCATGCTGTGTTGTATTGGAGAATCTTTCTTTTCCCTTTGTATATATTGAGACCTACTGCTGCTACATTGGTCGTCTTCTCCTGCATTTGTAGTTGCGATTGCGATAGGAGAGCTAGATCATCTGCGAAGTCTAGATCGTCCAGCCGCATCTTAGCTGTCCGCTGTATCTCGTGCTTTTTCCTAGATCTTGACGTCTTAATGATCCAGTTGATAACCAGGAGAAAGAGAAAGGGTGAGAGTAAGCAACCTTGCCTGACAACGGTCTTTACCTCGATCGAGTCTGTCAATTGTCCTCCATGCACAATTTTGCAGTTGAATCAATCATAGGAATTCCGTATGATATTGACTATCTTCTGAGACACGCCGTAGTATCGAAGAAGCTTCCATAGTGTTGTTCTGTCCACGCTATCAAATTCTTTTTCGTAGTCAATGAAGTTGATGGAGAGTGATGGATTGCATTGAATTGATTGTTCCACAATGATCCGTAGAGTTGCGAGTTGGTCTGTACACGATCTATCCTTACGGAATCCTGCCTGTTGGTCACGAAGTTGGTTGTCTACGCAGTCTTTCATCCTGTTTAACAATACCCTGTTGAGGACTTTTCCCGGTATTGAGAGAAGAGTGATGCCTCTGTAGTTATCACACTTGCCGAGATCGCCTTTCTTTGGTATTTTGATCAGAAGTCCTTCTTTCCAGTTTGTTGGTACTTCTTCCTCATCCTATATCTTATTGAAGAGAATGTGGAGTATCCTTGCAGTTACTGCTACGTCTACTCTCAGTGCCTCTGCTGGAATATTGTCTGGTCATGCTGCATTGCCACTCTTGGTTTGTCTGATGGCCATGCTGATTTCTTCAATTGTTGGTGGGCCAGCACTGATTGGGAGGTCCGTGAGTGTTGCTTCGATATTGGGTGGGTTCAGTGGGGCTGGTCGGTTCAAGAGTTCTTTGAAGTGTTCTACCCACCTGTTTCGTTGTTCCTCAATGTTGGTGATTACCTTGTCTTCCTGGTACGTGGAGGAATTTTATTTAATGAACCAAGTACACAACCATTGCATAAAAAATTGGGAGGTTTACTAAGAAATAACATAATGTACCATATATCTAATTCATCTTTTGATAACATTACTTGCGAGCTATGATAACTTAATACACTGAAAGCTGAGTTAATGCAAAAACTTCACTTGAACTTTTTTAGAATTATTATTCTAGCTTTAATGAAGATTTACCTGAAGAAATGTTTACTCATTATTCTTTGAGAAAGCCAAGTGAACTTAATAATCCATGCTGAGATCTCATTAGAAACTAACCTACTTCAGTTGATGGGACTTCCTAGTGGAGTGAACACGCGCAACTACTTTGTTCTTTAGTATCGATCTAGGAGTCGACTTAAACCGATTTTGAAGCTGTATTTTGGATGTAGATGGAAAAAACGCATCCCAAAAATGTTTGCATTTGTGACACAAATTAGTCTGATACACTCAGCTTTGAGTTAAACTATGGACTGGAAATACTGCTAGACTGTTAAATCTAACTACACAATAGGCCTGTCCTGCTACCTTTGAGTTAGTCAGTTCGTCTCGTCGCCAAGCCTAGAATATAAACCCGTTTGTTAACGGGTTACTAATAACGGGATGGAACATTGTAAGATTTTGAGTGACACATAGTAAGAGTGAGTTCAAGTGCTCTTATAGCATGAATCTTGAAAAATCCTTAACCATCGAAGACACGAAAAATGAAATATTACTTAAGGCAGCATAGCAAAAAATAAGGGTCCCAACAAACTTACAGATGCAAGTAGAAAACGCCAGTAAGTAGTTGTTTCATTATTGCTTTTTTGACTGGTTCAGTGAAATCAATCTGCTGACTTAAACCAGCAAGATCATGATCACAAAACTCAAAAACAAGATAGAATTGTGGTTTGAATCCATTACCAGCATTTGCTGAGAATAGCGTGAGGTAGAAATAGGCTTACGTGGACTATGGCATATTTCTTTTAGACACACAATATTTTCATGATTGAGGGATTGTAATATGCGTATTTCTCGTAACGCAGTAATAGGAAACTTTAAAATTGGTATGTTAAAAGTGCTACATACTCCTTCTTTTTCTTGTTCCATCCGAATTCGTTTCAGTGCAAAATGCTGTTTTGTTGATTTATGCCGCACCTTAAAAACCTCCCCAAACGTACCCTGCCCGATTTTCTGTAGTCGCACGTATTGATCGACTGGCTTGGTCTTTGATATCCCTTCCAGCTCTCTCTCTGCCATTGTGAAGAACTTTGTGTAGTCTGCTTGAAGATCTGACAGCAACTCCGCTCGATAACTGTCATCTTGAAGCAGAGCCATGAGATGGTTCCGAAAATGCTTGATTTACCACTAACCCTCAATGTTTCAATCAACAAAAAGTTGCTCAATGCCCAATATCTTTATTCTGATTCTAAACTTTCTGATTTTGGGATAGAAAGACGATGGTCTGCATTTTTCGCCTTCAATCGCGTGATTGTAGTTGTTTAACTTTGTTCTAGACAGTTGGGCAAACTAATAGTGTGTTTTGATCTGTCATCAGAATTAGTAGTTATGTAAAGATCTGACCTCTACTTGAATGTGAGAGGAAGAGATGAGTAGAACAGAAGTCCTGTTAAGGTATCTTTTCGCTCACGCCTGAATGCTAAAGGCAAAACGCTGACTGTAAACAATTTGGTATTGATTTCCTAGCATCCTGACAACTCACCCTAATCGCCCTATTTTGGAGAAAAACCATAAAATCTGTGGTACTCAGTTTTCTGGACAAACAGGTAATAATCAGTCCACTGCATAACCCCTTTAAGATGAAGTTACAACTATTAATAGTAATTTCTATTGTGATCATGAACTTCAGTCAACATTACATAACCGATATTTACGTTTTCTTTTACTATGTCAAATAGACACGGGACGAAGAGGCATCGGCTTTACACCTCCTTTCAAAACATCTCACACCATGCAGTTGAGTTGTTTGTGCTGTCCACGACTTTGATTACTGATTCTGTCCAGCCTGATTACAGCTAACTGTCTCTTTTAGACTAATAATTTAGAGCGTAATGAAAGGGATAAAAGATGGGTTACAGCCAACAGCTTGTCAAATTTGATGGGCTACCCTCAATCAACCTTTTACAGAAGGTTGAAGAAGTTGAGATCTGATTTTGAGAAAAAGTATCAGATAATGCCAACTGACAATGTAGACTACAATTCAGTTGATGACACCTCTACAGAGCGATGTAGCAGTATTGTCCCAGAATCGGCCACCGCCTCATGTGGTTACATTCCCCAGAACATTCCCGAACTGCCTTATTATTCATAAGGGACCATTTGAAGGTCCACATGCACTGATAGACCCAATAAAATAGCACTGAATCCTTGATTCATTATCCGACAAGCCAATGTATCTCTGCCTTGGAAGAATGATAACTGGATCTTGAATTGTGACCATCCAGAACTGAAGAATCGATGACGCGGAATTAACATATTCAGCAGATGAGTCCCCTCTTTGATCTCAAATACCGTCTCGTTCTCGTGGTATTTTACCTGTCCTTTAAGGATATTTAGTAACTCAGGATGATCCGATTTCTAAAGTGGGGGGTGCTATGCTAGGAACTCATTTGATCGTAAGACAATGATGTAAGTCTACATAAATTAAGCGATCGCACCATAGCAACACTAGTCCGGTGGATAGAGGCTATGAACTGAATACTACGAGAAAGCTTGTTAAACCAGAGATAGTCCAAGATCCTCAGAATCACCCCTATCGTAAAGTACATTTTTAAACTGAAACAATTTGTTTATCATTATGCGATACACCCCTTAAAGTTTAAAGTTTTATTTGTCACTCATTTGAGTAGGGTGTAATATTGCCATGCTTTAATATTATATCCAAGAAAGGCGGCAATTCGTTTGGCAAAAACATGTATTCAAACCGTGCTCCATCACATTCATGAGAATTATACTGCAAAATGGATTATATGGCGCTCATGTATAGAAAATTTTCAGTTAACATCAGACGCATTGAAATCATCCAGTTGTTTTACCTAAAGTGAAATGTGGTCTACAGCAGCTTGGACCATGGTAAATAATACTTAGTATAAATACGTAAAGTTTAAATGTAAATAAATTTCCCATTTTGCCATTTGGTAAATAAAGAAGGAACGAATTGAGCGAAGAAATTTCTTTTCAATTAATTTTTCATCATGGCTTTACACTAATATATATATGTTTTACAATAATAATATAATACTCATTGAGTGGATACGTTACGTAATAATTACATAATGACATGTAAATTAATATTGAGTAATTGGAAGAAAGAGGATTATTAATATTCAAAGTAATTATTAAATCACGAAGTTGCTACGTCGCGCAATATATGAAAAGAGAAGGAACAGAATTCTAACGGATGGTCAATAGGATAGTAGTTACGTAAGAATCAAGAGATGAATGTTGAGAAGTTATAAAGTTCAAAAGCAACAGAAACAAAATTGCAAAAGTTAAAAAAAACAAGTGGAAGAAGTATGAAAAATAGTTCTTATGATAGAAATCTCATACTGAAGGCCAGGGCGGAGAAAGTGATTGTACGAATTTCTTTTGGATGCAAAGGTCAGGTTTGTGAACGTGGATTGCGATGGCTTCCGCAAGGTGCAAAAGGCGCACTCGTAAACCATGTGGTAGACTTGATGGAATGTTGTAGATAACCTTAAAAGCTTTGTTCAATTCGACTTGATGACCTGTGTCAACCAAGTGAGAGAGAATAGAACTTTTAATCACTTTCACCTGTAGGGCCAGCGAAATGTCACTAGGGCCTAGTCAAATCAGGGTTTCCGTGCGTCTCACCGTTAGTTCATTGCAAATAAGATCAACCATTTCGAGTAGTGGAATATTAGTGAATAATGATGATACATCAAGTGATATCATGAATTTATTCTTGACTGATAGATTTTTTGTGTTCTCAACAAATTCACAGGAATCTTTGACACTATGTCTGACAATTTCTTTGTGTAATGGTTGAAGAATTTGCACCAACCATGTTGCTAAAGTATGATACGCTGAGTTATTCATATCTAATACTGGTCGAAAGGGCAAGCCACTTTTGTGTATTTCTGGTAGGCCATATAGTCTTGGTGTAATTGTTCCTGTAGGTTTCAACATTTCGAACACCTTTTCTGAAATAAAACCTTATTGTTTAATTTCTTTCAGTGAGTCAGTTAGTTGTTTTTCAATCTTGTCTGCTACTTCATTTTTCACAGCCAGTTTCTGAAATTCGCTATTATCATTTAAAAGGGCTTTTGTTTTGTTTATGTACAATTCATACATGACACCATTGAAGAAGTCATGACTCGGAAACTACGAAGAGCTGTACAAAAAACATTTAATGCTGCAAAATTAAATGTGATTTTCTACAACCACCCGAAAATAAGAACATCCATTAAAGACAGACTGCCAGAATTCGCCAAATCTATGTGTATCTATCGTTTCAAATGCTCCTGTGGAGCCAGTTACATAGGGCGCACAATTCGGCAGGTCCGTCACCGCATTACAGAATATCATCCGACATGGCTAAGCAAAGGACAGGTGTGTAAATCACCAACGTAGATGATCTATGTCAAAATGATTGGATGCCTACTCGAGTTAGACGTGAATGATGTGACAAACTAGCTAATGTCGAAGTCACACCTCATGGTCAGCACCTTACGTCGACTGCCCCATCGACGTATCAAGGTACCATAGATGCTCTGAAGACTGTACAACACAGGGGACGTTATTGCAGAAATATATTAGTTAAAGTAGATACAATCGAAATTAAGATCACTGCCGCACGGGCCAGTCCATGGCATACGATTAACCGATGCGCGTTGGTTGTCCTTGACCTTGAGAGGATCGATCAGTTGCTCGATATTCAATGACCCAACTGTCGGATGATTTGACTAGGGCCTAGTGACATTTCGCTGGCCCTACAGGTGAAAGTGATTAAAAGTTCTATTCTCTCTCACTTGGTTGACACAGGTCATCAAGTCGAATTGAACAAAGCTTTTAAGGTTATCTACAACATTCCATCAAGTCTACCACATGGTTTACGAGTGCGCCTTTTGCACCTTGCGGAAGCCATCGCAATCCACGTTCACAAACCTGACCTTTGCATCCAAAAGAAATTCGTACAATCACTTTCTCCGCCCTGGCCTTCAGTATAAGATTTCTATCATAAGAACTATTTTTCATACTTCTTCCACTTGTTTTTTTTAACTTTTGCAATTTTGTTTCTGTTGCTTTTGAACTTTATAACTTCTCAACATTCATCTCTTGATTCTTACGTAACTACTATCCTATTGACCATCCGTTAGAATTCTGTTCCTTCTCTTTTCATATATTGCGCGACGTAGCAACTTCGTGATTTAATAATTACTTTGAATATTAATAATCCTCTTTCTTCCAATTACTCAATATTAATTTACATGTCATTATGTAATTATTACGTAACGTATCCACTCAATGAGTATTATATTATTATTGTAAAACATATATATATTAGTGTAAAGCCATGATGAAAAATTAATTGAAAAGAAATTTCTTCGCTCAATTCGTTCCTTCTTTATTTAAATTTTATGCCAGAATTTTCACTCGCATGAAATCCGTCAGCAAAAAACAATATGCATACTACTGTTAACGAATTGCATGAACAGTAGGCTGGAAGTTATCTTACAGTACACAAATATCTCATATGTCACTTAATTATCTACTTAATAGCCGTTTAGATATCTTTTGACTTCGAAAATAATGGTTCGGAATCAGTCTATCCGATATTTTGACAAGAAGTATTCATTACTGTTTTTTATATCGAATTTATTGGTCCTAAATGATGTGTCAAACCACACTTTCTGGTCCTTACAAGTAGATACTCCGTTTGTGTAAAACTGACGTTTAATTCAAGAGGTCTTGTTTTACAAATCTGGTGTTTGCGTCGTCGCTTCAGTTTACTTACGTTGGGGCTGCAGATTGCTGAGTCGTTTATCCTAACTTCCTGACGGATTTTCTTTAAGTGTCATTATGCTACTAATTGGGCCTGCCGTGGGTGTAAATCCTAAATAAACAACCAGCACTTGGCAATGCTATTATCTGAATGTTATCTCTGCGTAATAATTCCAAAATAAATGAAGCCAAACGTCTAGCGTGGTAGTGTAAAAACGTATACGTGAATTATAGGTTCATGTATCCAAACATATGAAATCTAAAATAACTGGTTATCGTCAGAAATTCGTTATTGTTAGTATTTTATTGTTTTTTTATTCGGTGTTATATTCCCTGTACAATATAGAATTCTAAGAACAAAGCACTTCAACAAGTATCCGTTTCTCATTTTTTTTTATCACTCCTGAAAATAA